TATGTATATATATGTATGTATATGTATATATATATATATATATATATATATATATATGTCTGAACCAATCGGTTCGTCTCCGTTTCCGCATAACATGTAATACATGTATTATTAAGCCCTTTCCACACTATAACATTTTGACAAAAATATGTGACATGCATAAAATAATGATCATGATGACATCACATCATGACCATATATAGACACATCGTGACTATATACGGGCAGACAACAGTGGACAGAGCTTAAGATTTCCTTTGGTTTAATGGATGGATTTTCCCAAAGTAGAGCTTCTTTAATATTACAGTAAGTTGATAAATCTGAAACAATCTGAGTTAGATGTATTTCTACACGTTTCTGAATGCCCATGGTGCGAGGACCTCTGCTACTTAGTATAAAGTATTTCAAATTAATGTGAAGCATTTTAAGAAAGTTACAAAACTATACCTAATATAGCTCTTGCACGAAGACTGGGTGGCGCGCTGAGTTAAAGTAGGCTTTGTTCGTAATAGCATGAAGTGAGTAAGCAATATTTTGTAGCATTAGTTTTCTACAGTCAACTTTAATCACAGTTTATCCTTAAGAATTTGTTCAACAAGATTGATCACTACTTTCTGAAACCTACGACAAATTGATCTGTATAGAATAATATTGGTAATGAATTATTTTTTAACAATTTATCGACATTGATTCAATGTAAGAATTTATTTCAGTAATTTTCTTGTAAATATGAATTTTTCAGTAAATCTTTTGACTGCTGTTGTATGATATTTGTTTATGGTTTGAATATGCAGTAAATACCTCAAATATAGTAATACTGGAAAGTTGTACATTATGTAACAAGTTTGATTTGAATTACTAGGGTGGCGCATGCCTCGAAGGGAAATGGAGGTGTGATGGCAGCTTTGACTGTTACCACTCTGACGATGAGGTCGGCTGTAATACCTGTACCACTGAGCAGTTCAAATGCAGTGATAATGTGTGTATTCCCGAGCACGCGGTGTGCGATGGTTACGCAGACTGTTATGATGGGGAGGACGAACATCAGTGGTGCGCGTGCGGTAATGGCGAGTTTAAGTGCGAGAATGGTCTTTGTATTCCTCACGACAAGGTTGGTAAAATTAGACTCAAATAATTTGGTATATTTGGTAGTGTTTAAATTGGTGACTTTACGACATTGGAAAGAAGCAGGTCAACCGACATAAAAATAATGAACATTGGGCTAATCATTCATATTCATTACTCTAAATTCATTGCTATGCTATTTGGATTTATGTAAATAGAGAGGGGTAAATAGATATGAGATGTATTTCGATCGGCATTTGACCGTTATTTTGCAGATTTGCGACGGAAAGAAAGATTGTGGGTATGGTGGCGAAGACGAGGGCAACTGTGAGGCATGCGACTCAAACGAATACCGATGTAATGGAAACGGCAAATGCATTCCAATCTCTTTTCTTTGCGATGGACTTCTTAAGGACTGCCCTAATGGTGACGACGAGGCTAACTGTGGATGTACGAAGGAACAGTTCGAGTGTAGCGACGGTACCTGCATCGCCCTGTCGCTCGTCTGCGACGGAACCACGCACTGCTCCGACGACGAAGCGTTCTGTGAATGCGCGGAGTTGGAATTCAATTGTAATGTACCGAATCGTGTGTGCTTGCCTGTTAGTCAGGCTTGTGATGGTATTCCACAATGTCCAAATGGAGATGATGAAGAAGGCTGCCCTTTCACGTGTGGCCCTCCAGAAAATTTCTTGTGTCCGGACGGTACGTGTCTGCCGTCGTTTGCCCAGTGTGATGGCGTCAACGACTGTATTAATTCTGCCGACGAACGAGATTGTGAATGCAAGGAAGATGAATTCAAAGTAAGAACGTCTGTTTTGTTAATTAAAATGGATTCGGCACAAATTAAAACTCTACCGAATAGTACCGTTATAAATAGCCTAACTGTTTGAATATGTCTATATTTCTGTCGTTATAATTGTAAGCGGGCTGTCTTCAGCAGATGTGATAAGATTGGTTAAACCTCCATGGTTCGAGTGACTTGGATAAGCTGTAGAAGACAACTTAGACAGCAATTGCACATTACCACATCAATTATAAAATAACTTTCCCAATACCGTACTGAAAAGGTGTCTCAATCTATTTTCAGTGTCTTTCTGGCGATTGTATAGCAAACCGGTATCTGTGTAATTCGTATAGAGATTGTCAAGATGGTAGTGATGAGTCTGCGGAGGTGTGTACTCCAGGTAAACGTTATCTCTTCCTTTATCTATATTGCGTCTCGTAAACAATGATGACAATTACAAAATTAAGTTAAAAATTTAATTGTATAAAACCGGAAAAATGTATTAAAATAAGTTTAAAGAGTTATAGCATATTTACAGTTCACATTTAGAATGAATAACATTTATAACAGGAAAAAAAATAGTCATTGCAATTGAGCTTATTAAGCAATGAAATTCAATACAAATATTTTGATTATTATCGTACAATATAGGAAGACAGACTGAAAACAGTGTCTGAATGATCTGCAAATTAATAAAAGAAAAATATTATATACATATATATATTATAATATATATGCAAGAGGGGAGCTTTGCATTTATGAATTGTAATTTTTGAAAACTCGGTGAAAGATGTTTTGTTGGTATGATGTTGTACTGTAGATAGAATCAAATTTTAGAAAATATTAATATACTTTTTAATTTAATTCGGCTTCAGAACCAATTGTTGGTGAATGTCCGAACGTGCCTGCTGGGACCATAGGACTTTGTATCTATGGATGCGATTCGGATAACGACTGTCAACACAGCAAGAAGTGTTGCTTCAACGGATGTGGCAAAGAATGCGTTCATCCTATTTTCCCACCAAAACTTATAAGTATGTAATGTTATTATTAACACTCACTGGCACATAGCAATTTAGCTCGTGATTGATAACCCGTTCAGTTCCAAATTCATCTATTTAACAATTTATAGCACATTAGAGGACAAAAGATGACAAATCTAGATGCGGTTTTTACTAAGGAGATTTCTAACTCTCACGAAAACACATGTTACTTGAGGGCATGTTCAGTTAGAATAATATAGATAGTCAATTAGCCAAATATTTGATATATTTTGCGGATATAATATGTGCGAGTGGTTTATTTCAGTTAAAGAAGGCGACTGTCCAGCATTAAGCGCCCCCTACGGTGCACATCAGTGTTCCGACTTGTGTCTATCAGATTCTGATTGTCCACACCTGGAAAAATGCTGTAGCAACACCTGCGGTAAAGTATGCGCAGAGCCTGCTGTTAAAACTAAGGAGATCGAAGAAATCAACACAAATGAATTGGAAGAGGATTTAGAGGAAGTTAAGAGGCAATTTGCTTCATTTGAAAGCCGTTTTGATTGGTTGGATAAGACAGGTAATGACGTCACAAATACGTAGGTATATAAAAATTTAAAAAAAATAAAACTAAGATAAAGAAAGCCCCATACTTTCAATTAGATATATGGAAAAGAATTAAATACGTTCTCAACTACCAATTACGCTGGTTTGCATACGTTTTACTTCTCACAAGTTAGTTATACATAAAATATAACATACTGGTTTATAAAAAGTATTAATGAGAGGGTAAACTTCGTGGAACATGCAAGTAATCCTGGATTTCTTAGTTACGTTTGATTAATACTACGAAAAGTTTTAATTCAGGAGTCAAGAACATGTACATACTCTCCATTTACATCTTAATTCCAAAACAACTAATGAATTACTCTTCTCTGAATAATACGGCTGATCCCAATGACGGATCCGGGAATTCAACACATAGAAGGTCCACCAACATCAGCCCCAGCATGGTTGGAGCTGCGGTAGAGGAAATATGAAATTAAATTTAGGGGCCTTCGCTGGCTGACCCTCCCTGCCCCCTTGAATTCACCTATGGATCCAATTTACTGTATATCCAGAATAATAAGTTTAGCATCGAAATGCAAGTATAATTCATATATATATATATATAATTGGTTAATGAGACAATGAAGTATTATCCACTCATTCATGGTAATGCATGCACAAATAAAACTTAATATTCACACTCATTCAATTACTTTTCAGTATCTGACATACTGGTTGGGCTTGGAATTCTCCAAACAGAAATAACGGACCTTAGAAACCATGAGCACTATTATGAACCTGCACCTGTCCATTACGTCCCGCCACCTACAACAAGGCCGCCACCACCACCACCACCAGAGAATGCTGTGAATGGTTACCCAAGCAATGCTGGTTCACGGCCAAGTTATGGACGCCCGTCGTATGAACAAGAAACCGAGAAACCGGCTTCAAATAACCACGTCATTGCTGGACGACCTACAAATGCACATTCGTACAGACCGCACAAGAAGCAGTTAAACAAAGATGGAATTGGTGAATTCAAAAGAAGGATCATACATTGGGGAAAATTATTACGTTCCAAAGACCATACAGAATAATGAATAAACCATAATTATTAATTAAAAAAAGCTAACATGATCATGTTTAAAATCAAGTCAATATGACATTTTGTGAACTGTGACACATAAATAAATTTCACATACAACTCCGTAATAATTGTTTTTTAGTTTTTTGTTTTATTACTTAAAATACACTTAAAATACACTTAAATTAGGTTTACAAACATAAGAAAACTGTATAATCTTGTGTGGTTCTAGTAAAGATTGAGTTATTCTAGTCATTTCATTTACCAGAACTTTCATGTAATGTGTGGCCATCGCTAGCCAGTAGAAAAATTACTCCCTTGTTGCTTCAATTTCCCACTTTAAAAAAAAACTAATCTAATACTTCATTTAATATCCATGAATCGGACATCACTAAGCAACAAGTACCGCTGAGGTAAAGGTCTAGGTGCAGGTGACAGAACAGTGAATGATCCCCTTTCCATGTCAACATTTGTTCTAAAAAGAAAATACATCAACAAATTGTTTTAAGTTTGCCTGGTAAAAGATAAGTTTAACCATAATGCTCTTTAAAACAAAAGATCTACTCTCAATGTTTCCATGCACACACATACAGAAGAGAATTGTATGTACTTCAATGATTTTATTCCTATAATGTTAATAGCTAAAATACTTACATGCAAATAAACCCCACTACATTGGCAGTGACCAGGTCATCTTCCCGTGTCTTTGCTGAGCTTAAGCTAAGAATGTGATGCACTAAATTTTGACCTGCAAACAAAAATACTCAAAATAAATTTATAGTGCATTGTTTTTTCAATATTGAACTTAACAAGCTGTCAAATGATGTGGATACAGATTATACACATGAGAGTAAATATTATAAGGACTTCCCCAAGTGGGGGCTCTAGGACACATTTTTTGGGGGAAGGAGCTTGTGCTTGTATGCCCGGAAATGGCACTCTACGACTGTGAAAGCTTGGCTTGGTGTAGACCAATTTTTTTAACTTTTCAATTTTTTTTGGCCCAATTGCCCGACGGGCTTGAACCATCTTAAGCCCCCGCGGCAAATAAATTTAAACCTTCCTGAATGTTCACACTCGGTCGTACCATTTGCGCATGAAAACAGATCCATGCTTCAGGTGTGTATAGGCTTGTTTATTCTTACACAAATCTTATGATTTTACAGTTATTTCATTACTTAAAATTCTTAAATGTACATACTTGGCTGAACAGGTACAAGTTTGGTCTGGTTATCTTCTGGGGTCATCCCAATTGGAAGACAAGAATTTGGTACAGCAGGAGCTAAAGAACAAAACAGTTTTATTATAAGTTGCCAGCAAATTTACAGAAAAAAATACTTTCAAAAGAGTCATAATGATTATGTACTATACCTCCTATTTTATAAATTTCAACAGAATGGAATGCTACATCGAATGAGTGAGGATAGAAACAATTTCGGAATCCATAAAAATATTCTCTAACTTTATCATCTCTGGTTGTTCTTCGGAATGTTTGCGACCTGTCTACAGCCTGGTAAATAAAAATATTGATTACTAAAAACTTACAGCCTGGTAGATATTGATTACTAAAAGTTTTAACTTCAAGTCACTCCCTGGCCTAACATTCTCTTTCTTTTGCCACTCCTGATACGGATGCGTTCAAGACCCTCCTTAAAACTTAAAATATTTTTATAACAGGCACTATACAAATTCAGAAAATGCGGTACAGATTATTTTCACCGGAGCCTGACCTTAAAATAGCTATAGAAATGCTGTACTGTATGTATTGTATAAATGACAGTATATCTATAAGCCTTCTATTCTAATTCATTAGGATTCTCTACATATTTATATATGCATATTTCTTCATTATGTCATACATTGGCAAAGGTATATATTTGACTTACCCCTCCAGATTTAGGTTGAAGGACTACTTTTACAAATGATGGCATATCTCTTACTAGTTCATTGTACAATCTCTCCTGGTCCAAAACTACAATTACATCAACTAAATACAAACATAGTATTAAGTAATAATAAAAAAGATCATAACTTATTGAAAAAGAGAGTGAAGTGGAAAGGTAGTTTAGACTTTAAAATTAACAATTTTTGGGAAGTTTAAATGTGATTGCAAAACTAAACCACAATGTAGGTTAATAAATTTTTCTTACTATATGCTAAGCATAATACATTATTAAATACACATTTAATTTGGTTGACTTCCAACAGTACTATGTACAATGCATTAGTATTTGTTAATAGAAAAATAATTTGCTTTGATTTGATTACCTTCCTATCAATTATATGCAGTGCACTATTAGAGGTAATGCAATACTGTATATTTGCTTTGATTACCCTAATGCAGTAATACAATACATTTATAAGAGGTCGTTCACAATTATTAACTCTTTTCATTACCCCCTTCCCTCCCCTTCTGAAAGTGTACATAAAAATGTTGATTTTGCAAAACCATTCTCAATTTTTTTTGTGAAGTTAACGAAAGTACTGTACTTGGTTTATAAAAAGTTGCGTAATATTCATAGTTGCGTTACAATTGGTCAAATATTATTTTGAATCAACAATTTTATGCATATGTAATCAACAGATCATCATCACCATCATCATCGATTTATAATCTATTATTCCATGCAAGAATGGGTTAGACTGTACTTGTAATGGCAGCTTTCCATTCTGCACGATTCTGTGCAAGCTCTTCATTCAATCCCTTTGCAGGAAGGTCATCTCTAACCATGTGAGCCCACTGTTACCATTAACCACAAGATGTTGGACCCTCCTCAGCCAGTTGTCTTCATCTCTCCTTTCTGCTTGACCAAACCAACGTCCATGCCTTTGCCATATCACATCCAGAATTAGGGTTATACCACTAATTCTTCTTTGCTTCTCACTAGACGTTCTTTCCTTTAAGGTCATGCCACACATCCAACGGATCATTGACATTTCATTTCTGTAAAATCTTTGGGCATCCTCAACTTTGATAGGCTGAGTTTCACTGCCATATGTCATACCATTGCGAACGCATGTTTTGTAAAGCTCACCACGAACTTTCAAAAAGTGTACAAATTCATCTACCCCCTAGCATGCTGTACTGTCTGTACACTTGAAAAAATTGCGAATGACCCCTAAAGGTAATACAAAATTCAATTTATGGATTTGATTGACTTTAGACTACATACCTTCAAAGGCTTGTGCTGCGTGTGTAATGCACTTATACCCATCACCTTTTACCCATCCACACGTGTTGATTATACATCCACTTACAGAAGCTAAAGGTTTAACCAAACATTTTCATTATGTATAATAAAAAGCCAAAGAAATAAATTTAGAACCATAAAAAGAGTTTTCAGTTCAATTCAAATTCATATATTTTGCTCTAATTTGACACAAAATGATTTACTATAGCACACTTGTAGCTGTAGAAAACTACAGGTGGATAGTAGACAGCTAAGGGTGGGTGGGTGAAAACATTGGAAAACTAAACAGTAAGAGTGGACTTTTTTAAGGATGAACAAGGGGGTTAATAAAGGTGGGAAGGAGGCCATGAAATTAGTTTTAGACTGGGTGGAAAACTTCAAGGCTGGGTGGCCCCGCCCAACATAACTACATCCCTGCACGAATATCTATTGCAGAAATGCTCAAGGTGCCTTTCTACCCTGGTCTTTGGATATAGAATCAATCATACACAATGTGCAACCTCACTGCTTTTGGGGAGTATTCATAGTCATGCATGTAATTTAGGTCATTCCAAATCCTTCACCTTCTACACCTCACAATCAAGAGTCAAACTTTAAAAACAGCACTACACGACATTATTAATCTCTGACTGACCTTGATGTAGCCACATTCATGAAGAAGACTATCTTACCTATAGGATTGACCTTGCATCGCATGTTCAGCATCTCGGCAATTTGCGATGTGAGGAGGTTATATAGTTTGAGGTTAGCTCCCGGTGTTGTTACTCCAAAGTGATAGACTAAAGGTGCCGCCAGTGGGAAGCCCTCTTCAACATCAGATGGCCGTTCAACAAGAAGTGCACCAACCGTGCCAGGCACTGATATAGTCCCCTGGAAAACAAAATCCAGTCTTACATGGAATGCCAAAATGGCAACTTTCAAACTTTTCAAGCACAATCGGTTAACACAGTCAACTTTCGTCAAGCACAGTCCGTTTTCGGTTTCTAAATGCAGAAAAAACTTGCTTTAGCTGCCCCTGACCAATGCTGTTTCATCTCATTTTAGTGGTTTCTAAATATTTTTATGTTATGAAAAATGATATGAAACTGCTATAAAAACCTGTACCTGAACTTAACGCCAGTTGTAAAGTCCATGAAGCATGCTTTGTAAATCATAAAACATGATTTTATCACTGCATCACTGACATTACACAAAGAAAATAACTGAGTGAGATAACATACTATTATCTTTTATTGGTCATATTGTTATTTTTTTTATTGAAACTAATCATGACGTTCACATATTACAGGGTAAGCGAGCTCTTAGTTATTATCATCATTATTATTATTATTATTATTAATGTAATTTACAATATTCGATGTAGTATATTCTGTCTATAAAGTGAATTAATATTGGTGCCTCTTTATAGGGAAATTTGCACTATAAGAGAAGGGGTGATTGATTGACTGATTGCATAACAGCCTATCATATTTTGATTTTTTGCTTTTATAGTTTGAAAATCTCTCAATCCAATGACAATACTACTCACCTGTCCAACGTCAAGTTCTACGTAAGTGGGCTGCCTACCAACTCTAATGGCGTAGTTAAGCAACAGCTTGCAAACAGTACTCTTGCCAACATCTTGAGGCCCAACAATCATGACCTGCAACCAAAGAGTATAAATAGAACAAGAGAGCAAAGTCCCGTTCGTAAAAACGTCATGCCTGTGTAGGACGCCAACTAACGGTTGTATATTCTTTTTATTACCCAGTGCAGCGCTGCGCAGCGCGGTAGAAGTACGCCCGCTATAAACTCAGTAAGCAGAAAACAAAAGTACAGTATCCCCCCCCCAGCCTATGTCCATGTTTTACTTGAACAGTTTGCACAATATTGACATACATTTCAAGATATACATTGTGTGTTTGAGTTATTAGCATTAAATTGAAAATTAGAATTTTAAAAAATGTTTCTTGCTAATTAATATTCATGAAGATTTGAAATTCATTGTTTGAACTACCATCTTGAGCCTGAGGCCATCTAGGGCCTCTAGAAGGGATCCAAGCACTCTGAGACACTAGCCATTATCTCTACAGTATCTCCTCAATGCAATAGACAATTTGTTTATTATTAAAAGCCTAAGCTTCAGCAACTGTGGCAAAAACTTCCACAGTGTAAGCAAACTGTTTGACTCACTCTAGGACCTCTTGTTCCATCAAGTTCTGCCTGGTTCCTCATTTGTTCAAGTGCAGCATGGGTGTTAAGATACATAAGCATTGGCGTGTCCTTAGATACGTAGGCTGCTTCTGTCTTTCCCCTGAGGTGGTTTGTAGTTAAGGAGATCATGCAGGATAGATAAACATTGTAAAATCAACACTAAGTGCTTCATGGATTCAATAATTGTTACTGTTCTCATACAATGATAAAATAGACTCCCAGCGGGAGCGTGTGTCTACTGCCTTATACAGGAGTTTTTGTTTTTTTAATTTTATCTTATGTTTTTCAATATGCAGATGTGTGTATTATTGTACAGTAGTGTATCTGGATTTTTCATGAAAATTTTCTTTCGTAACAATATTCTGTATAGGCCTACTACTATATTACACTAAAAACACTTTAAAAATGAGTAAATTTGGGAGTTACCACGTTATGTTGTTGATCACAAAGAGTACTACCATGTTCTAGAGGGCGCCCTTCAAATTGCGGTAAAAAGTGTTCGTGGTGAACGCGTGCTGCATCTCTATAATGCGTGTTCCAGTTTTGTATGCAATTTTGTTCGAGTTCCGAAGGCTATTCAATTCTCACTAGAGTGCCCCCTACCTCGTGGTAGTAGTACCCATCATGCCTAAACCGGATTTACCGTTTTCCGCCATCTTTAATTGCTACATCATAACATAGTGTCTACGCCCCCCTTGGGGGCAGTAGACATAAAAAACCATACACATGTTGCTCTTGTTCATTGTAATCATAAATACAAAATACATGATTTTGAGGTTCATAAAAATAAAAGTATTTAAACTAAAAATACTATGTTGTCAAAGGATATATGTACTAAACATCCATGCCAAGTAAACACGGCTACTTTGGCTCCAGCGGTAAACCTGTACACATTGTTTCGGAGTAGTTCTGTACCAAACACCTCAGCCAGGCCTTCCTTCAACTGCAGCAAGACAGGAAAAATAAAAAACATCAAAGTAAAGTAATGTTATATATTTGTATGTTGTATTTGTAGGTTGAAGTCAAATAAATAAATGTAATGAATAACTGTAAATTTACTTATATTTCTTTATAAGTGAATTTATCATGTGATAAAATTTGTAAAACATCCAAGAACAATTAAAATTAGGGATGGAAAAAAACAGGCAACACTGAAACACATGAACAATATTTTATCCCACACTTCACCTACCTGTATATAAGCCTACTATACTCCATCAGAAATTAAAATCAGAACTGCTAATTGCATATATTAAATATTACAGTTCATATAATTATTAAGAATAACATATGTCATCATACATTTTGTAGATAATTTATCTGATCCAAAAAAAATTTGATTAACCTTTAACCCTTTTCCATGTTTCCTTAAAACCAAAAATATTTTCCAAGTAAGCTCTGCCCGCACTATCAATTTTATAAAAAATAGATAAGCCGTACTAGTCTAATATATAATAGAAAATAAAACTCAGGATATTCAGTACTTTTATGACTAGATTATTTATGACAGTACACAAGCTTTCGTGCACACAGTGCACTTCTTCAGGTGAATGTGTTCACATTCACCTGAAGATTTATTTTCTATCTGAGTTTTATTTTCTATCAATTTTATGTGACACATAAATGCGATTTCATTTCATTTATTTCGTCCAAAAAACATTAAAATTGACAAACACAAGATAACTGAGAGCAAAAAACAACACTCAGTTGGCCGGACAGGATTGCCAAAAAGTGAACTGAATCACTGTCTAGTCGCTCTCCGATGCCAATGAGAACATAAATTAAATGAGCATAAAATATTCCAAGTAAAATAGGCTAATCAATAAAATTTAAATTTAAAAATATATATGTACAAAATATTCATATATGCTCATATTTGGGTGTAATATGACATTATCATGACCATATATGGGCACATTACACAACTTGGTTACATAGTTTGTGGACAAAGCTGAACACACCTCCATCTGTACTTCAGCATCATGTTCCACTTCAAAGCGAAGTTCATTATCTTTTTCCAGACGAAATTCCCTCACACCCTATTAATCAAGCAAAAGGAATGAAAAAACAAAATCAATATCAATCAACTATTGTATAAGATGGTCAAGAAAAAAAACATTTTTCTTGTCTTAAAAGTTGCAATGAGGAGCTCTAGAAACACTTGGCTGATTGATTAATAGATCTGTTTTAGCACTGCATCTATTATACTGCCCTCATGCTGTACTTCCCTCATGAGGAAACACTCGGCTGATTGATTAATAGCTGACTGATTGAATAGATCTTTTTTAGCTCTACTGCCTCTAGTATACTGCCCTCATCAGGGCTTTCGAGATTACGAGGACTTGTTTGTAAATAATTAATGGTCACACTGTATACTGTATGTGTGTAATATGATAAAATTGTTTTAATTTAAAATGTGATTTAATAGATGAAGCATCTCAAAGGAACTTGGATCTACAAGGAAAGTTTTTATGGTTTACATCATAAAAATTATAATTTAAACACGTTCTTAAATACTTAGCTTTGTCATTACTGTACTTTTCACAGCATGCATTTTTTTTTACATACAAGAGCAATCAAACTCATATGGTAATTTTTTTTTTTAATTACATTTTTTTGGAAATATTTATTAACATTTTTAGAAAGGATTTCAGTGGATGGCAGATGCAAATCTTATACAGTAGTACTTTCATATTTTCATCTGTATTTTAGCATGGTACTGTACATACAATCCATTGCACAACTTACCTTTTCTTCAGGTGGTAACTGAGAAGTACCTTCCATTTGGTATTCTGATGAAAAAAAATATAATAATGTCTTATTTAATGTTTTTAGATAATGGGGCCTCCCTTCTTAATCTTAGCCAAGTCTAGAAAGTTCTCTGTCTGCTGAGCCCTTGGCTAGTATTACAGCAATTTCTCCCAAACAGTGACCACAATTAAGGAAGACCAAAAACAACAAGAAAAGAAGAACATAACATAACTCCCTGATATAACCAACCGGTAGCAAAATGGCAATAAACCAAAATGGCAATGACCAAAACGGCAATAACCAAAACGGCAATGAACCAAAAAGGCAATGACAAGTACCAAAATGGCAACAGACCAAAACGGCAATGACAAGTACCAAAATGGGAGAGACCAAAATGGCAAAGGAGCAAATCAATGCCAACAAGACTAGTAGCAGTTATAATTTTCTGTATCTTTTTGAATTTGTCACCGATAGGCAAATTGAATATTGCCATGAGCACTTTTTCCTTTTTCCCACATTTAATGTTTATTATTATTTCGCATTTTTCTTTTATGACATAAATTGTTTAGGCTCATTTTGTCTGCATTTGAAAGTTTTATATGTTTGAATGTTTTACTGCTTCTATATTGTTTCCTCCCCCCCCCATCTTTTTAATATTGAATTTGTATGACTATTTTTATTATTATTATTATTAAATTATTATTATTATTATTATTATTATTATTATTATTATTATTATTACTATTATTATTGTGAATGATATTATTGCGGCTGCTGCTATTTGGCCTCATTTTTACCGTATTTAATTGTAGTACACTTTCATGTTTATAATTAGTTTATTTTTTCGCATTTTTACATTTATGACATAAATTGTTTAGCATCATTTCGGTCTTGCCGTTTTGACTTATTGCCGTTCTGGTCTATTGTTGTTCTGGTCAAAAAGTGTTGCCGTTTTGGTTTTTTGCTGTTTTGGTCATTGCCGTTTTGACTTATTGACGTTTTGGTCTATTGCCGGTTTGTCCGGAAACCAACCAACCAACTGAATAATGGACTGTCTTTTCTCCGGTTTTTGTTGTAAAATATAATAGTAGAAAGGACGTCTGATGAGCAGTGTTTGAGGGCTATATGTATGTTCTTCGCGATTGATCGGGGCTCGATGCTCGACCCGACTAAAGACTATAACGATGTTGTTTTTGTTAGTGACAACTACATGGGTAAATGTGTTTCAATGAAAACATTAAGATGTTATTTAATTTGTGAAGATTGACTATCGTATAACAATACAGGTAGGCCTAGAAGAATATAGAATATCGTCTTGATTTCGTGGAAATTGAGTTTTAGCAAGGAAACCTCGCGTAGCCCTAGGCCCTGTATTTAGGTCAAGTGTGTTCATTCAACAAATGATTGAGTAAAATGAACATAACATTTCCAGCTCATAATATCACTTTTATTTAAAAAGTTAACACAATGATTTAATAATTTATTCAGTGATTAAACTACATACTGTGCTGTTGTAGAAAATTTAATTACGTTTAATAAAAAATAAAAAACAAAATTATATAAATTAATTAGTGCCGTGGTAAACTTGGGGGAATCACCACGGCTTGGGAGGCATCACCACTGCTTTGGAGGCCACGCTATTAATGTTGAGTGTTAAAAATGCAAGTTAATTAAAGTATGCCTGCGTATGCGTTATTATAAACGTAAATATCGTTTACTAATTTGTTATACGGCGACGTACATAAATCCACTTCCATTTCTATAATAATTACTTAGCTAGGCCAAACAGGGGCCTAGCGTAGGCCTCTAGGGATCTAGCCTAGGCTAGGCCTTAACTAGTTTTTACTGGCCTAACCTAGGCCTAGGGCTAGGCCTAGGCCTAGGACCTAGCCTAGGCTAATAATACTGAAGAAGGGCTTGGGCCAGGCCCTACGCTAGGGTTTGGCCTAGGTAGAAGATAGGTACCATAACATTTTTTTTCGAATTTGTGGTTAATCATTTACTGTGGGAATTAATGATGTCAAGTTTCAAGTACTACTTAAATGAGAACATAAGTTGAACTTATAGTACTGTACCTCCTTATTGCCGGTTGACGGCGGAACGTCGAAAAACTGGAATGCCAGTCAATTCGAGCGGATGTCAATTCGAGCGGATGTCAGTTCGAGCGGATGCCAGTTCGAGCGGATGTATTTAGTGCGAACTATAACAAGGCGAATTTATCGTCGCCCTATTCTTGTATTTGTTTTATGCAAAAAATGCTCTGATTACTAAGGTTCTGAAAGGTGTTTTTTTGGTAATTTTTGATGATTACTCCATGTTTGAATTACAGTCTTTGCAAATCCGACTACCAAGATGGCCTCTAACAAGTTAAAACTGTGTACTTGTTAATCACCATAGGAATTTAAATTATTTTTATGTAGGTGTGTCAGAAGGTGCACATATGAATAGTGTAGTAGTGTGAGACAGGGGCGGTTTTGCCACTTTTTGCCAATTTTCTTCTAAAGTTCAAAACCCACTGTTTTTTTAAATATGTGGAAAGGATAACATTGACTAAGTTAGTATAATTTAAAATATATCGTTATTTTTATGAATGACGGTATGTTTTGTTTGTTTATTTATTTATTTACTCTAAGATAGAGATGACAGGCTAAAAAGAAATTCCTATTCCCAATAGCATTCACTTACCATATTCATTCAGAACAAATTGAACTTTATTATTTGTTAACCTAAATATCCATTAAATACGACTTGCTATACATAAGGCTATAGGCGGCTTCCCCGGAACCGACTGGGGCTTTACCCTGCCTCTCAGGCAAAGCTTGAGCAAATTGTTAGCTCAAATATAGAAATAATAAGATAATTCGTATATAACTCGCACAGGTTGTTGTTCGCACAAGTGGATCTTCTTCCGCTCGAACTAGCATCCGCTCGAAAAAATCCACTCAAATTCGCTCGAATTGGCCTTCGCTCGAAGTGGCATCCGCTCGAATTGACTGGTTCCCAGGGCGGGGATCATGAAAGGTTGTTGTTTGTTGTTATTTCGCAATTCGCGACGTCATCAACGAGTACAATACATTCAATCCCGTAACATGATTGGTCTATTTTTTTCTAATTTGCATAATGAATTTTTCCAACATTTTTGTCTATTTAAAAAAAAGTGTGTAAGTTATAAAGATGGTAACAATCATAAATCGATTATAAATTTAATTATACATTTTTAGACAAAAAATAAACTCTCTTGGCCCACGGCCCATTTTTTTTTTTACACCATGACCATGCGTAATATTAACATGCAATGTATATATACGAAGAATTTTTTCTAGTAGGATTAGAGTTGACTAACTGGTACTTGGTGTGGTACTAGGTTTATCGCATTTATGGCTTAGGGGCAGCGGTTTACCTCCCTCTGTTTAGTCATGCTGGATCAGGAGTAGTAAACTCGGCGA